GTAGAATCTGAGTTCAATATCTTTAGAAATGTTCACAAAATGGACATTGAAGCAAGGGTGTGGTTACAGAACCCCCAACCCCTTCACTTACAGGGAAACATTACCCTAACCTAACTGTACTTCAGGGCCTCTGAAACCTAAGGGAGAAAATCGTTGGTGTTTAGTGGCTTGGAGGGAGATATTCTCTTTTCCTGACAAAGTTGACTATAAAACAAAATTTCTGAATTCTGAAGTGCACAAATGGAGCTAGAATGAGCCCCGTGAGCCCCATTGAAGCTATTAGGCCTCTGAGCTACAAGTAATGATCAGATTAACAAAACCAGCAAGACTGTTATTTTTTCAGATATTAGAGCGTTTTTAGTTCTAAACGAACAGGGTGTTGCTAATTTTATTACCTTTTACTGCTGTATTTTTCTACTTTTGGCCAAAACAAAATGAAAACGTATTTTCTATTTTGTATAAGAATGGTTTTCCCCAGTAACACTTGTGAGAAAAAAGCAAACAAACATGTGTTATAGCCACTCAATATATTTTTACATTAAAATGCCACTCAAAACAGTTTGTTGTAGGAGACATATGAATAGAGGGGCTAAAAATGGTGAATTTTATTGATAGGAACCGGTTGAATGCTAAAGCGAAGGTAGCTCCTTTTTAAACACGATCTTAGTTTAGCAGGTGCCTTTCCCGAGAGATCTTTTTTGACCTCTGTATCTAAAGAACATGCCTATCACGGTCATGCCATTCAGATTCATTTTCTTCATCTTTTCTTTAGGATTTCATTATTTATATTTGCTTATTGTCTCTCTCTTGTTCACTGGAATGCAAAGTCCAGACCTTGTCTTATTGTCCCATGTGCAGAGAACACTGCTCATAATGGGCACGCAATGTGTGCTGATGAGTGAGTCCATTTTTGAAAGCATAAAAAATTATTGACCACTTACTCTAGGCTAGCCCACCAGTTTATGTTCTTGAGATTTTTTTTTTTTTGTCTTTGCTGCTCATAAGTCAGTCAATGTTTATTATATATCTTTTCTCCTTCTCACTATAGATTTATTTATTTGTGGGTGTAATTCCAGTCATTCTGATTTAATATATTGTAGTGGAGAGCCTTTAGTAGACACTTAATAGAGCAGTGTTTGATTAACCAGATTTTCCTAACAGAGCAATAGAGTTTAGGGATTTTTAATAAATTTGAGTGGATTTTTTTCCCTCTTTAAAAATTATTTTAAAATATTTTTATTAATTTCAGAGAAGATGGGAGAGGGAGAGAGAGATAGAAAAATCAATGATGAGAGAGGATCATTGATTGGCTGCCTCCTGCATGCCCCCTAACTGGGGATAGAGCCCGCAACCCAGGCATGTGCCCTAATCAGGAATCGAACTGTGACTCCTGGTTCATAGGTCAATGCATTTAACTGACTTATTTTCTTGAGTGTGAGAGAAAGGGGTGCGCTTCCAGGATATGTTCCTAACTTTGGGCACCCAAAAGCAAGTATGTTGAGAGGAAAAACTGAAATCTATTCTTCTCTTTTTTTAAAAAAAATTTTTTTATTTATTTTTCACAGAGAGGAAGGGAGAGGGATAGAGAGCTAGAAACATCAATGAGAGAGATACATTGACCAGCTGCCTCCTGCACACACACCACCAGGGTTGTGACCGCAACCAATGTACATGCCCTTGACTAGGATTGAACCTGGGACCTTTCACTCCACAGACTGACGCTCTATCCACTGAGCCAAACCGGTTTTGGCTGGAGACAACTTTGTATTGTTACCTGGGCTAAGAGGAGTTAGATTAAGAGGAATGAGACTGTGTTATAGCCCTTGTTTCAGCTGAAGACAAACCAAGTGTCAACTGTACAATAGGACTCCATTGGATGACTATTAACTAGGTTAGATTGAGGCATGTGGTTATACTAGTATCTGATAGATGGTGGGAAACTCAGTGCTAGGTGCCCTGAGGGACCTTAGTAAATATGGGTTGATCTTAATAACAGTGCTGGGCCTCCATCCAGTACTTGATGATTTCATTTTCTAACCTGTAAGAGGAAATCAGGAAACACTGTTGAAGCTGGGAGAGTCTGGCTCAAAGTGTTTATAAAAATCATTTTATATCTTACATTTTGGGGAATAGAAACTGAAAGGGAACTGTGTATTTCCTTATGCCCTGGGAGTTTAATGTTCTTATGTTTTGACCTTGACATGGTCATGAAATATGGTGGTTTTTTGTGTTGTTGTTGTTGTTGTTTTGTGCTGAATAATAGCTTTCTTTTTTTCTTTAAAAAATCTTTATTGTTGACAGTATTACATGAATAATTTTTTAAATTTATTTTAATTTTTATTGAATTTATTGAGATGGCATTGATAAATAAAATTATATAGATTTCAAGTGTAAAATTTTATAATACATCATCTGTAGTAATATATATACTAGAGGCCGGATGAACGAAATTTGTGCACTTGGGGGAGGGGTCCCTCAGTCTGGCCTGTGCTCTCTTGCAGTCTGGGACCCCTCAGGGGATGTCCACCTGCCAGCTTAGGCCTGCTCCGCAGGGGACTGGGTCTAAGCTGGCAGTCAGACAACCCTTTAGCAGCCTGGGAGCTTTTGGGGGATGTCTGACTAAAGGCTTAGGCCTGCTGGGGAGCAGACATCCTTAACACTGCTGCTATGTTGAGTGCCTGGCCCCTGGTGGTCAGTGCGCATCATAGCCACCAGTCATTTCACATATTAGGGTCAATTTACATATTATCCTTTTATTATGTAGGATATAATATATATAATTTTAATTTTTTTATTTTGTGAGTACTCTTATTAAAACTGGGGACAGTGAAACAAAGGAAGGGCTTAGGGTAGAAGCAACAGGAGACCTAGGTGAGGCAGCTTTGGCTTTTTAGAAACATAGGAAGGAAGTGAGCCAAGGAGAGTCTACTGTCACCTCACTAGAGAATAAGAGAAAAAAGCAACATGTTTTGTACAAAGGAAGATTTTATAAAAAAAACCATATTCATATTAAATAATTTTAAGGTTGATTTGGTATTTATATATTTCTATTTTTTTTCCACTTTGCACAAGAAATAGGTTCTGGCTATGAAATTCAAACTATCCCTGGGACAATCAGCTTCACCGAATCATTTGTCATGAAAAATGGCTTATCAATCACAGTTAAAACAGTCCAGGATTTGGTAAAGACATTTTTTTTTTTCATTCTTGTGATTTACTTCTTAAGGTAAATCCAATATATCTAACATATTGAGGTGTAAATACGTAGACAGCAAGTGTACTTTACACATCAAAAGTCAAAAACATTTAGGAGACCACATATTTGCCAATGGATTCAATAAAAGATTTAAAAATATTTTCTTTTATAGTCACACATTTTATTACAAATTTCTTTATTTTATACCCAATAGAAAAGCAAGTTTGGAATCTATTTACAAGTACTATATATTCACATATATTATATACAGTTAATGAATTTAAAGAAAAGGGGCAGAGAAACAATACATATGGAAGAATATGCCTCTGTACATGGTTTATTATCATGGTCCTTTGTATTACTGAATCTTTACTGTAGTAATAAATACAGTTTTATATTTACACATATTATAAAACATCTCATAAATGTATTTCTTTCACTTCCAAGTTAAAACATCTGATCAAAATAAACATGCTTATATAAAAATAAATCTACCTAACAGTCTTGTGGTTTGAATGTATTGAAGCTAATGTAGTATAATAAAGTTACAAATTAATCCTTTGACCTTTAGTATTTAATAATCTGGCCTCTTAAAATACCTAACACATGTATTAAATATGGAATAAGCAGAGAAGTCATGTTCCTGACATCAAACGAGTTGATCCAAAGACAACACAGCTAAAACCAAGCTAAGTAAACAGGGTAATGTGTTACCAAGTCTCTGTTGGGTCCAAAATGATTTCAGACATTGTCGCTAGAGCTACTAGAGATGCATGTGTGAGAAGATATGTCGGTGGATTTAATTTATGTCATGTCTGCTTCTGATCATTACCTTCACATACACATCCGTTTCAATCAACTGGTAAAACCTCTCTCGAAAAAACATGCACTCGCCCAGGAGAAAGAAAACAAGAAATCTCTGGTTGGTTCACCATATTCACTCGGTCTGCCCATTGCCGGCAATGGACTTTTCTTCCGAGTTTTGGGCGCTGAGGAGTTAGAATGAATTCAATAAGGCACACCTCACCTGGAGAGGATTGCCTTCACGGCAAATTGAAGAATTTTAGTTCATCTTCCTCTCAAAATATTTGTAAGCAGTTTTATTCCACTGAGGATGGAACCATCTAGTGCTGATAAATAGAATCCGGCATTTCTAAAAATGATGTGAATGTGAGCAAATTAATAATGCCTTACATTACCCATTCACTGGGTCTGGAGCGGGGCTGGGGGTGGGAAATTGGTGACATGGAAGGATCCTTTTTGAGGAAAGGCAGAGGAGGACTAACAACTCATCTCCATTAAAATGAAATCCTATTGGTCATAACTTTAGTTGGTACCACAGCCACTTAAAACCCTTATTTTCCTAATACTCCCAATCATCTTTTTCATCTTTTGAGGAGTTGGGGGGTTGAAAACCCCTTCGGTGAGTAAAGGTCTTTCCTCCCAACCTCCCTGCTTAGAGTGGTGATTTTAAAAAGAATTCCACGGAAATCATGGAGAATCTCTTTTGAAAATTTCCATCTGCTTAAAAAAACGAAAACATGGGCTTCCCTCAATAGCGTGACTGAACTATCTCTTTGCTGAACCAATCATACAAGCAGCATGTAGACTAATTTTCTTTCATTCCAACCTCAATAGATTTTCAGCTTTTTTCCACTGATAGGTTATTATTATGATGATTATCTATTTTAAAAAAATCAAATTTCAACTCTGTTTATGACTGCTCAGCTATATACCCGACCTCACATTTGCGGGCTTTTCCATTTTTTTTTGGGGGGGGGGGAGAGAAACGTTTCCTCTCCCATTAGAGACATGGCACAAAGGCCACGGATGACAAGTGGCAGCTTTCGGTGGCCCTCGGGTAGGCGGGCGGCGACCCCGGCGCGTTGGAAGAAGGCAGGTCGTAGGCGAGGCCGGCGCCGGCCCCGGGGAAGGTGACCAGCGCTTGGGTGGAGTGGCAGGACTGCTTCTCCGCGTCGTCGTCCGAGCCGATGAGCATGAGGCTGGCGCGCTTGGGTCTGGCCCAGAGCGGGGCCCGCTGGCGCAGGCTCCCCAGGTCCTCCCTGAAGTGGGGGTTGAAGAGCATGTAGAGGAGGGGGTTGAGGCAGGCCGGGAGCGGGCCGACCACCAGCAGGATGAACCTGATGACCTCGGGCCCCACGAAGGCGAGGTTGAGCAGCGCGGAGAAGGACAGGAAGGCCACGGGGCAGTAGAGGATGCAGTTGGTGAAGAGCAGCAGGGCCACGTGCTTCGCCATGGCGCCGTCCCACAGGCCGTCCGGCTCGCCCTTGTCCAGGCTGCAGTAGAGCCTGGTGTAGGCGGCCGTCATCACCAGGAAGCACAGCGAGTTGAGCAGGACGAGCGCCGCCGGGTAGCCCGCGGAGGCGCCGGCGCCCGGGCCGCCCAGGGGCAGCGGCAGGCAGAGCGGGGACGCGCCGTACGCGCCGCCCAGCAGCGGCCCCGCGGCCACGGCCACGGCCAGCCCCGCGCACAGCAGCGCGGCCGCGCGCAGCCCCCAGGAGGCCCTCGTCGCGTCCCACTTGGCGGCGCCCCTCGCCGAGAAGCCGCGCTCCAGGGCCGCCAGCGTCAGCAGGAACACGGACGCCTCGGCGGCGAAGGTGGCCAGGAAGCCCAGCGCCTGGCAGCCCGCGCCCTGCTCCCACCCCGCGCCGTGCCGCGCGAAGCGCCCGAAGGTGGCCGCGTCCACGGCCGCCAGCACCGCGCTGGCCGCCCCGGTGAGCAGGTTCGCCGCGGCCATGAGCCCCACCAGCAGCTTCGCCGAGGACAGGCACAGGGGGGCGCGGAACACCGAGCCCGCCACCAGGGCATTGCAGGGCAGCGCCAGCGCGGCCACGGCCCACACGCCGATCCTCACCAGCCAGCTCCCCAGCAGGCACTCGCAGAGCCTGAAGGGGCCTACAAGTCCAAGGGAGAAAAACAGAACAAAAACGAAAAACGGTGTGAAATGGCAGCTTACACCTTTTTTTTTTTTTTTTTCTTCCAAATGACCTCTTTGTTTCTCTTATTAAGACACAGAAAGATAGTGGCCTATAGCAACCGCAGGAACACACTGTTGCCTTGTGGCACTTTGTTCAACCAGGGCCATGACCGCCTTCTGTGCACTGGTGTGTGTGTGTGTGTGTGTGTGTGTGTGTGTGTGTGTATGTGTGTGTGGTCAGCGCACCAAGTGCTCATGTTTTCAAGCTGCACCAGACTCAGAGGTGGGGAATGGAAATCACTTTCATGAAGGTGAAAAGCCAGGTAAAAAGCCAGATCTCTTGGGCTTTTCATTAGGGTTCTCCCCCCACCCTCCCAGCCCCCGCTTCCAGAATGCTTCAAGGAGATTCAGTAAGCAGAGACAGGGGACCGAGGGAGATACTCCAGACTATTAGAAGAGGAAGCATGAATAATACGAAGGCATGTTTCCTGAACATCTTGTCTTGGGTTTAGAATGGCATTGGATGTTGGAGAGCAAGGGACATCCTCACGGTTGGAAATAAAATATTAATATTCCCAGCTGTCTTTTTTTTCTTTCTTCCCCTCCCCCCCCCCCCTTCCAGCTGGTCCCTCCTGTTTCTGGGAATGGGACAATTTATGAGGTCCACACATACAGATATTTTTTCCTTGTACGTGTAAGCCCTCCTTTGTTTTAACCAAATGACTACGTAGGGAAGACTTAAAAGAAACCCCTTTCAAAAAATCAGTGATTACTGGAAGCAAGATGGTCGCATAGTAGCTTAGGCTAAATGGATAATATGCTAAAACTTATACGTGCTTCTTGCTACAGTTTCCATGAACCTGAATCAGGAGTTTCCCAGGAAAATCTTGTTTATGAATGGAGACCAATTCCAACCCATGGGGAGAGCCCCGAGGAGCAGCAAAGGAGGCACAGACTCTGCTTTGAAGCCGCAGGCCATTGCCGGCTGCAGAGCCAAAGGTGGGGATTGCTGCGGAGGCCGTGCTGGCCTTTCTCACCTGGGGAAGGCGAGCATTGCACCGAATGAAGGGCTTTCAGGTCCTCCTCAAAGTCAAGCAGCAAATCTTCAAGGTCACGCTCATCTGCGGGAATGAGAAGCGCTGGAATGATTAGTCCTCTCTCTCTTGCCAGGGGACCAAATGCCCGGGAGGAGGCTCCTGGATTGCCCTTGAACATGATGTGTCACAAAGGAGACGGGAGGTCAGCCATCCTGCTCTTTTCTGGGCTCTGGCTCTCTTAAGAGTCAACTATAAAGTTGCCTTTGGGTGTCCTACTCATGCTACTATGTGATAGAGTATTCCAGCAAAACTGGGGGAAGGGAAAAGAACTTTGGACTCCTGGTTATAACATCTACTGGTAAGCTCTCTCCTTTTGTTCTTGTCCCCTGGAGCGCATGATGCCCCAAAATTGCACAGACCTGAATTAGAGAGAGATTTAAAAAAAAAACAAAAACTTATATGTATAAACTATTATTTGTTCTAACCAAAATAGCTTTAATAAAATTGGACCTTTCCAGTGGAAGAACCACTTTATCCAATTTTCTAACACTTAGATAGCTATTGTGCAAATGCCTGGGTTGAGTTCTCTGATGGTGCTTGGTTTGGGCATCCACAACACGGGAATTTTGTGATCTAATACACTTTCCCAAAGATGCTGATTTCATTGATCTGGCGAGGGTGGCATAAGTCTTTGTAGAAAGCCTCCTTGTGATTCCTGGCCCAGGACTGAGAATCACTTCCTTGGAAATAAACTCCATGAAGAACCCTATGTCTCTTGCTCATTGTGTGCCTCTTTGTTTCTCTTATTATGACACCAAAGGACTGTTTGGTTTTGAGCTTGGTGTAGGCAAGTGGTATTTGCTCCATGGGGGGATGGTAAGATGATCCTTCTTGCTCTCTGGCTCCATCTACGACAGGGCCTGGCACATAGTAGGCACTCTAATTGTTTTACTTTATTCTCTTAAGAGTAAAAACTAGAAAGCAAGAACAAGTGCAAGGCCCATCCGGTGGCCTAAAACAAAGAGGCAGAGGGGCAAACTATCGGCTCTTTAGGCCTTGTGCAGGAGGAAAGGTGAGGGTTATGTGCAGACAGACTGAATCATGCTTGCGTGGGAATCAGCAAATCATCCAGGCCCAGAGGAAGAAAAGCCAGTCTGTTTAGACTCTGCACAAACATGCAAAGTTGGCAGGGGAAGGAACATTGGGGCTGCCCAGAGCGCTTCCTCATTACCACAGGTGTGGTTTGAGGTGCATTGTTGTCTCTTTAGGTAAGGTCTTACTTCAAGGAAAGCCAAGGGCTTCACAGACATGATCTCATTTCACCTTCCTGACAGATACCCCTGTGTGGGGAGGAGGGGGGAATGTTTCGGAATTAGTTAGATAAGAGGTATCTAAAATGCTTATGTCCTCCACGTACAAATGAAAACAGATTCTGTCTTCTAGAGAAAAGAGCCCAGAAGCATGTTTGAGAAACATATCCACAAAGATGAAGCCCTTTTAAAAGTTTATGGGAACATCAATATGAATATTAATAATTACGCCATACTTATACAATACACGCTAAGGAAGATGTAATAGACATAAGAATTAAAAATTCAGCCGAAACCGGTTTGGCTCAGTGGATAGAGCCTCGGCCTGCGGACTGAAGGGTCCAAGGTTCGATTCGGTCAAGGGCGTGTATCTTGGTTGTGGGCACATCCCCAGTAGGGGGTGTGCAGGAGGCAGCTGATCGATGTCTCTCTCTCATCAATGTTTCTAACTCTATCACTTTCTCTTCCTCTCTGTAAAAAACCAATAAAATATATTTTAAAAAAGAATTAAAAATTCACATACAGAAAAGATTGAATGCCCAAGGAACTTTCTCTTTCTCTGGGAGTCTCTAAGAGTGGGATGGACTCCCAGCTTGCTGGGGTGGTTACATAGAGAAGTGTCTTGAGTTTAGACGATCTGTCTGATGACTTTTCAAGAACCTTCCAGATACAATTTCATCATCGGAGCAGCTGGTCTTACCTTGAACTTGAAACATTCCAGCATCTTTCTTATGAAGATCATCTGTGCTGCTGTTGTCACCTTTATTCCATTGATTAGAAATTTTATAGACATTTTCACACACTCCAAATGCACAGCACTGGTAAGCATAAGGCATTTCTATAACCCTGAATAAAACCAAAGGAAAAACATACACTTAAAGAAGTGAATTGTAAAATAGTGTTTTTCTTTTTTCACTCAATTACTCTGATTTTGTGTTTTAGCCTTAATAAATAATCTAAAAAATTAACTATGTGCACTGGGGTTTTATTACAGCATTATTTATAATAACAGTGGAATTATTAAAATTATTGCTATGAAATGTTAGTAATTGCTGAGGTTGAGTAACAGGTATATTATTTCCTCTATTTTTGTGTTTAAAAACTTCAATAACAAAAAGGTTAAAAAATGACTGCTAGAAAATTGTAGCACCTTTAAAAGGTGCTTATGGGCCTGGCCATGGTGGCTTAGGGGTTGAACGGCAACCTATGAACCGGGAAGTAAGGGTATATTTCCAGGTTGTGGGCAAAATCCCCAGTAGGGGGTGTGCAGGAGGCAGCCAATCAATGGATTTCCTCTCATCATTGATTTTTTTTTTTTTTAAATCTCTCCCTCCCTCTCCTTTCCTCTCTGAAATCAATAAAAATATATGTTTTTTTTTAAAGGTGCTTACAATATAAGAATATATTAAGTGATGAAAACATAAAAGCTTGTTTATGTAGGATCCTAACAAAAATACATTGGAAACAGAGTCTAGGAGGAAATAACATAAAAAGCTGTTTATGAGGTACTTTTATATTTTTCCCCCCTCTTTCAGTTTCCAAACTTTCTTTTGGTGTTCTGGTTTTAAAAGTATATAAAAAGTACTTTGATAAAAAAAAAAATACATGTATATAAATAATCCCACAAGGGACTTCTTTATCGATAACAAGCATAACATGTTTTAAAGAGCATTATTTCCTCAAGCAAATATTAACTTCGTAAATTTTGTTAGAACATATACACAGGCTAGAGGTATTTAAAAATGTCAACAGCCGTGCATAATGTTATAATGTTATTTAATTGTATGTCCAAGTTCATATCCAATGGATCAATGGTTTTCAAATCTTCCCATGAACTCGGTGATTCTGGGCGGCTCCTTAGAGAAACAGGAAGTGTGGTCAGGAAGACCACCTCCCACCCTGGGCCTATCCTGACAGTGCCCCAGGGGCAGGCGGCTGGAGGGCATGAAATGCAATTCTGAAGTGTCCCGTGACCTCATAAATTTTGAAAGCCACTGCAACACGCCTGCTATTTCACATGACCACAAATGTATCTTATTAGTTTTAATGACAAACTCACTTGAGTTCTGGAAAGTTTTCAGATGATATCAAGCTCTGTAAGGCATGATTTCCTGTTAATTTTAAGTGAGTTAAACCATGTAACCCAGTTACAGGAAAGGACGACAGGCGGTTGGACGATAGGTCCCTGCAAAACATCAAACAACAATGGGCTTTTAGTCTGTGTTAGCCTAAAACACTTACGTCAAAAAACAACCTAAAGATTATTATGCTCTTCCATAAAAATTTCTAAGTCGGGTTCTCACTTGTTATGGTAAAAGCAACCATTTTCCCAACTCCCTGTAACCATTTTGGTTACTTTTTTTTTTTTACAGTCAGAATTGCAGGGGGGAGTGTTTTAATCACATCCAAATTGGAATTTCTATATTCAGCTTAGTTTTGCTAAAGGGGGATATACCAAATGAAGTGGCAGGTGCTGCATCTCATTTGAAAAGTGATGCTGGCTGGATTAAGTTTTTAGGGATGAGGAGGAAAATGTTGTTGGGTATGTATTCCCCTCCTTCTCCTCTTAACTTCTGTCTGACCAATTCCTTCTTTCTCTATTAGAGAAGGAGATGGAGGGAGGAAAGAGCAAGAGATGGAACGGGAGGGAGAAAAAGAGATCAAGGCACTCTAGTAGTCAAGATGGCCAACTCTAAAATGAAAGCCCTTTAGAACTGGATTGATAGCTATTCCATTCCACCTGATCGCTCAGCAGAAACGGAAAATTTCACCTCAGTAATGAGAACAGCTGTCACCCGGATCTTCAGTTATGCACATAATGGACCAGTTGGCCTTGGAGGGGAAGGGGGCTCCTCTCTGGAATGATACAGCTCTAGTGTGGGGATCACGGAGGGCGGGGCAATCTGTGTGCACTGCGGGGTTAGATGGTCCCTAATTATGAAAAGACCAGCCATAGACAAGTAATAAAATACTCACAGCTTTCTTAGCGATGGCAAAGTAGAAAATGCACTGGGGTGAATAATGGCAATTTTGTTCCAAGCTAAATTCCTATTTAAAAGAAAAAGTGAGAGGATTACATTAAGAAAAGATGACCTTGTGAAGTTTTACAATGTAAATTTATCCTAACAAAAACTAATTTTCATTCAGGACAGGAATAATTAACTCACAAAATCACCCTTCAGATAAAGATATTAATAGCATAAAATGATGAAACAGAGAACTTTAAAGCAACCTTGTCTAAATTAATCAAGAAAAATTATTCAAGTGAATATTTCAGTTTTTACTGTCTTCTTGCTAAAAAGTTGACTTTAACATGGTTGCAAATTTTATTAGGGCATTTCTAAGATTAGTGAGGGTAGGAGAATGGGAAGACACAAAGGTACTTCCTTTGACAAGCTGGTACATTTTAAGTTAAAAAATGCCCCTGGATATGTAATGAAATTCAACCAGAATTTGTTTACATTTCCCATGCATTCCAGGCAGTAAGAGAAACAGAGATTATTTCAAAAAAAAAAATTGCCAATAAAGGAGACAGACATTTGAATTCTTAACTGGAGAATGAATAAAAGAGGGCCTGCATAAGCTGGAAATAAAATCCTTTGATAGATAACAAAGAAAATCTACAATTTATGGAGAAACAAATATATATATATATATATATATATATATATATATATATATATATATATATATATATATAATTAAATATAGATAATTTCACAGGAATAAAAACATCCACATTTAAAAAGAGGAACAATAAACTTGAAATTTGTGTTTTTTTAAATGCCTAACTAAGAAGGTAACAAAAGTGTAGACATTTGAATAAATTGAAAGTTATCAGAGATCCAAGCTGGTACCTCCTCCCAGGACCAAATTAAAATGACAACTAAATTCTAGAACAATCAGCCTGAATAACCAACTGAGGACTAGCTGAACAGGTGTCTTATAACCAAGGATTTATAGAAGAATCCACATTGAGACTGGTAGGGAGGAGGGAGACACTGGTGGCGGCTGAGAGTCTGGAGGGATATCTCAGTTGTGGGCACTTCCCCCCTTAAGAGCAACGGTCTCAGCCCCATGCCACTCTCCCCAGCCTGGAGCACCAGAGCTGGAAAGAGGAGCCCATGTAAGACATGGCTGTGAAAATCAGGAAGAGACAGGAATCTGCTAGAAAACCAGGGGCCCTCTTAAAGGACCAATGCACAAAATCTCATTTGCAGCCACTCACCCTGGGCTCTGGGAGAGGGAAGGCGACTAAGAGGGTTTGTAGCTTCAGAAAGAAGGCTAAAGGCACAGCTGCTCTGGACCCTTTAGTTGAGTCCTCACCTACACCACACACTGACACCATCTTTCCTCTCCACACAGCATCAGCCTAAGGGATGCACTAACCCCACCTTCCCGACTCCCGTGACCTTGCAGTTCCAAGCTCTCTCCCTGAGAAGGAGTCTGCTGGCTGCTGCCAGTCTGGGCTCATGGTGCAGACTTTCTTGGAGGTCTCTTAAGGAGGTCCGGTGGAGTCAGGGTGTCAGAGACAAACAGGAAAAGTCTAAGTTGGGTGACACTAGAGTGAGGATCATTTCCCCCATGGAAATCCACTGGCCCCATCCTTCCAGCTCACTGTGTGCACTGTGGAGGAGTCAGCTGGGTGCCCCCTCCTGTGCCCACGGTGCGGTGCAGCCTTTCTCAGAAGGCTCTGGAGGAAGTCGGGACAGAGACAAGGACCATTTTTCTCTTGCACACTGGCACCATCATTTCTGTGCAGAGACCTCCCTCCACATGACCAAGTATTGGTCTGTTTTAACTTGATGATCTCTGCTGGCCTCATCCTGATGACTTCCTGAGACCCTACTCTACCATAAAGCTCTGCAAATCTCTGGTTGGTGACAGCTAGACTTGGTATACTTTGAAGCTTTTTCTGAGTGGCCTCAGACCCAGCACTGGAGCCAAGTTTGAATCTGCATCAACCTGGTGAATACCACTGGCTCCTACCTGGTGACTCACTGAGAACCCATCTTATGAATTCACATATGGCCAGAGGCCGTTTCAGTGACTGAGCCTAAAAGATGGAGGCAGATTTCAGGGTTTGATGACCTGCCCCAGGCTGGTAGAAATGCTTACAATGATGCTGGTAGAAACTGGACTTGGTGTGTACTTTGGCCCCTCCCATTTGTACTCAAGCCCAGTAGAGACAGCCACTAACTGGGAATCATTCTGTAGCTCCAAACAGGTAGCTCAGGGCTCTTTACAGGCAGCATCTGACATTGACATACACCAGAATCCTTCCTTAGGGGCCCGAGAACCAATACAACTAGTGGTGGGCTTCAGATCACATCAGAGCATGACCCAATTAGTTCCACAAGTGGCACACCCACAGCGAGATCTTGATAGGCAAAAGCACCTGATGGAGCGAATTCTACTTCCTGGGGTCAGCCCCTGTAGTTAGGGTCAATCCTCATAGTCAGTCAGCCCGAGGGTTGACCCCACCCTTGAATGGGCAAGAACAATGAAGACTTAAGAGGGCTCACATAATCCATACAAGGGACACTCCTGGAGCACCTTGTTCAGGGAGATTGTGCCCCTGAGCCCCACATCCGGCCACCATATCAAGACTGGGAGACATTGAGTGAGTGGGGTCCCTCTGGCAGGTGGGGTCCCTCGGCCTGGCCTGCAGGGATTGGGCTGAAAACAGCAGTTCGACATCCTTCTAGGGGGTCCCAGAGTGAGAGAGGGCACTCTGCAAAGTTGCTGGCACTTGGCAGCTCCTGCATTAAGCATCTGCCCCCTGGTGGTCAGTGCACATCATACCTACTGGCCAGTCAGCCGGTCACTTAGTCTTATATATATATATATATATATATAGATTAGAGGCCTGGTGCATGAAATTTATGCACGGAGGGGGGAGGGGGTCCCTCAGCCCGGCCTGCACCCTCTCCAATATGGGACCTCTTGGGGGATGTCTGCCAGTTTAGGCCCGATCCTGCAGGCAGTCTGTCATCCTTCTCTCAATCTAGGACCACTGGCTCCTAACCACTCACCTGCCTGCCTGATCACCCCTAACCATCTCTGCCTGCTGGCCTCATTGCCCCCTAACTGCTCCCCTGCTGGCCTCATTGTCCCCTAACTACTCACCTGCTGGCCTAATTACCCCCTAACCACTCCTCTGCAGACCTGATCGCCCCCTAACCTGATCACACCCTAACCACTCCCCTGACTACTTGATTGTCCCTAACCACCTCTTCCTCGCCCCTGCAACTGTGGCTTTGTCTGGAAGGACGTCTGAAATGATGTCCAAAGAGTTGTTTGGCTGTCCAGTATAATTAACATATTATGCTTTTATTAGTATAGTTGAAGGAGAAATAAAGAGCTTCTCAGATAATAAAAAGCTAAAGGACTTCATTAACACCAAACCAATATTATATGAAATGTTAGAGATTGCTGTAACAGAAACAAAAAAAGAAAAACATAAATTATAAAGAATAAAATGATAATAAGAATGTATCTATCAATAATCACTTTAAATGTGAAGGACTAAATGTTCCAATAAAAAGACACAGAGTAACTGAATGGATGAGAAAACAAGACCCATTTATATGCTGTCTACAAAAGACCCATCTCAGAAAAAAGACACAAATTAAAGGTAAAGAGAAGGAAATTTCATGCATTGGAAATGAAAAGAAACCTGGGATAGCAATACTTATATAAGACACAATAAACTTCAAAGCAAAGACTATAAGAGACAAAGACAGACATTTTTAAGTGATAAAGGGATCAATCCAATAAAAGGATATAATCCTTGTAAACATTTACACACCCAACATAGATGTACCTAAATCTATAAAGCAAAGCTTGATGATCATCAAGGGAGAGATAGACAGTAATACATCCATAATAGAGGACTTTAACACCTCATTGACATCAATGCATAGAGCATTCTTAGCCTTCCAATTAGTTGTCCTAAGAGATCCTATCACTTCATGTTGGCTTGAAAGGTGGAATGCAAAATCCCTGGGGACTGATTTATGTGTACCTGTCCCTCTGATTCATCACCATGACAATATAGCATTGAACAATATGACATAATAGAAAACAATTGAACCATTAAATTACTCTGGGCAAGGCATCCTAAATAGGGACTAAGGTGCTATCAAGAAAATGTTTGGCATTTCAAAATATGTGGATTTTTTTTGATGACTGATGGCTTTTGACAGAATACCTATGTGTTCTGTTTGATTGGCAAAGAGCCCAAGTTCTTGCCTTGACAGAAAGCAACTCAGAGTATCATCACCATCACCTACTCAGCCAATATCATATATTTATTGAGAACCACTGAGTGCAAAGTTATGTTACACTATATATGTTAAGAAAACATATCTTTCTCTTCAAGGCAAGGAATAAAGAATGAATCCAAACAAATAGAAATACTCATTTTTTTTTCAGTCACTTATTTGAACACAAATAGACAGGCGTAGGGTGCATGGAGGGAGATCATTACAAGGTCTATAAATGGGCACATCTTTGCACCCAGGTACTGGTTCTATAAATTGTCTCAGAGTGCTCTACATTTTAGAATGGCATTGAAAAAATAAGATAAAATAAAAATGGCATGGGAATCCTGCAGGGACTGTAGAAGAAGAAATAGGATGCACCATTTGTTTAGAAGAGCATCTCAATTTGATACTGATGAGGCAGCATCTATGTTCATGCCTAACCTGCTCATCTATTGACTATTCTCATAATGATATGCTTAGCAACTTCTTCTGGAGTTCCCCTAAAGTTTTCCGGGAGGAGTGTGGTGTGATCTAAACAGCTTCACGCTGCCAAAACCGGTTTGGCTCAGTGGATAGAGCGTCAGCCTGCAGACTGAAGGGTCCCAGGTTGGATTCCGGTCAAGGGCATGTACCTTGGTTGTGGGCATATCCCCAGTGGGGGGTGTGCAGAAGGCAGCTAATTAATGTTTCTCTCTCACTGATATTTCTAACTCTATCTCTCTCCCTTCCTCTCTGTAAAAAAATCAATAAAATATATTAAAAAAATTAAAAAATAAACGG